GGAGGGAGTGGGGGATGTGGGAGGGTAGGGGGCAAATGAGATCAAACAGCCTCCACTTGTGTAAATGTTTGTTGTAACTCTTACCGTACCGGGGTAAAAAATGCAATATTTCGCAACAGACTCAATGTTAGCATTATTTCTTATTATTTTACAAGCATTTTTTCATCCCACTCGTCTTTAAAACTACCTTTTCGTTACGACGCACACGCTTAGGAGTGAACATTTAACGGCCTTCCGACCTGGGGTGTGGATTCAGCCCAGGAGCGAGGGGCTGAATTTTAGGGGCTTCGAAACCAGGCTCAAGAGTCTGCACGGCACGTGGAATAAGACACGCAAACAGTTGTTAACTGCTGCCCACTCTCATTACCTTGGCGCTCACAGGATGCATCAATCCACATCAGTCCGCGTACTTTCCGATGGCTCGTTCAATGAGATTGGCTGGATAAAATTTGTCACGCTGCAGGAGTGTTCCCATTAAGACGCTTTTACTGTGTTACATTTCAAGGCAGATCTGGAATGAATTCCGCTCGTTTCAAATTCCCGGCGTGAAGCAGAAATGTCAAACTCTTGAGTCGAGTGCACATGTTCTACATCTAGCAGATCCTCACTCTCACAACGTCTTACCACAGAGATGAAGCCTCCTGACTCAAAGACTCCTACAACTTTATCCTTACTCCACGCGCCTCTGTTTACCCAGCAGTGAGTAGGTTGCAAGCAGTTGTTGGTCGCTTGGCGGGTGACTTTTCCGGGGATAATAATTCCTATAAAGAAACATTGTTGAATATAAATTGGTCGCTTCAATCCACGACTGTTTGTGGGGGACACTACTCTGCGCAATTGGCTGCCGCGTTTCGGCCACAAAATACACAGTCAATTCACTTTACAGTGTATTCTGTGAAGCGCTTTGAGACATCTCAAAGGCGCGATGAGGCGCTATAATCAAATGCAAGGATTATTATTATTGTTATTATCTTTTCACATCCAGAGATGTGGACCAGTCTGGCTCTCAGTACATTACAGCACCTTTCGCGTCAGGAGTATGTCTCAAAGCGCTTCACGGTGCTATGTGGTACGAAAGCTGGGGGTGGGAGTCGAGTGATGGAGGTGATGGAGCTGAAAGTCCCAGCTGAACCCATGACGTTCTGACTCAGATTGCTACAGGCTAAAGCATGTGTGTGTGTCTGTGTGTGTCTGTGTTTCGGGGAAGTGGGTGGTGGGATGAAATGGGGTGCATTTAAAGGGCAACAGAGCGGTCAGCATCTCCAGATACGAGTCACAGTGCGAGCCGCTGAGTATCGCGGTAACATAAGATAACAGAGGGACAGGATTCAAGGTACGAGGGCCGTGTGGTAAACCCCACCTGCGGCATCTCACCTCAGCCCTGCAGCAGGGGCTCGGAATCTGCTGCGCTCTCATCCTCGCAACCCTTTATCGGGTGTGAAAGCATCTGCGTGCGCACCTGGGTCCATTATGAGAGAAAGGATTTAGCTCTCCTTCCCGGGGAGTTGATGATACCGCACATAAAGAAACGATCAATGTAATTATCCGCTAAAAGGATCCTGCCTTGTCCGACACTGATATGTAAATCAGATAAAAGCAATCGTCTGAAACATTCATTTCGGCTTAACACCATCTGTTTCCCTCCTTGCTCCGCCATGCTCATTTGGTCCAATTATGCCAAGTGCTTGAGGCACGTTGAGGAGATAATCGGGGAGAGAGAGAGAGAGAGAGAGAGAGAGAGAGAAAAATCCCATTAACCCATTTGGAGGTCCTTGGAATTAACAAGGTGTTTCACGAGGAACTTGGAATCCCATCCCAGGGTTTTTTCCGTCAAGTGTAGTGACTGTGTAGTTTTGTAGATCAATCTGCAAGCCCATTTTGCCGACAGCAACGTCCCTACAAACAGCCAATGAAGTGAATGATCAAATGACATAGTGGGGGTGTGTGTGTGTGTGGGGTGGGGTGGGGAAATAGTTGGCCACGATGCCAGCTGGTGGAACCTCCCTTCTCTTTATTTGAGCGTGCGCCCCTGGGATCTTTAACGTCCACTTGAACACTTACAGACGAGGATTCGGGTTTAAAACCAACACACTTCCCAATCCCAGCCACGGTACCAAATAATAATAACCCTGGCATTTGATGTAGCGCCTTATCATACCTTCGAGACGTCTCAAAGCGCTTCACAGAATCTACTGTAAAGTGAATTGACTGTATACTTTTGGTGGGCGAAACCCAGCAGCCGATTGCGCACGGCAGCGTCCCGCAAACAGTCGTACCAAATCTCAGAAGTGGAATGTTTTGCTCCCAAAGTGCAGCTGCGGTAAGTAACCGCCTGCTATTTTTACTTGAGCTCTTGCTCTAAGCAGTTTAACTACGGCTGGAGAATAAACAAGTCATTGAAATCCACACGCAGCTCCCAGGGCGGAGGAGAGTCAACAGTCACATCTTGCCAAAGGCTGAAAACAGCGAGAAGTATCGACCACAACTACTGCTCATCTACCTTCCCGAGCACCACAAGGAGATGTCTGAGAGCAGGTCCACCTGCTGATCTCCCCACCTTTCCAAGTCCACTAAGCTACTGACCCAATTCAGTAGAGACAGAGTTACCGTCCTTCAGCTGTGACGTTTAAGCCCAGATCCCACCCAACTGTTCGGGTGGACGTTAAAGATCCTTCACCACTGCTTGAACAGAGAAGGGAGTTTCTCTCTCTCTCTCTCTGTGTCCTTTCCGATGATCCTCCAGAAAAATACCAGTCGTTCACTTCATTGCTGTTTGTAGGATATCGCTGTGCAGAAATCGGCTGCCGTGTTTACCTATAAAATACCGTCCCTGCGCTCTTTGAAACGTTCCAATGTCATAGGTGCTGCATCAAATGCAAGTACTGTATTGAAAGTTAAATCAACTCAATGGAAACCAACATCCACTGCTGGCGGAGCTGGTGACGGTTTGCCAGTTTGCCTGCAGGAGGCGCTACAGTTGATCTCATTGACCCAATTGAGGGAATGGGAGGAGGAGGAGGGAAGAAAATACAAGTCTACAATCTCCTGGGATCTATCTCCTCAGTGAGTGTTTCTCTGACGGTGCACCTAGCTGGACATTGGGCAAGGATGGACAGCCATGTCCTACCTTACAGGCAAACGTACCCATCGTTCAGGCTGACAGCTGAAGACCGGGGCTCTTAGATAAGGTACCTGGGACATGCATCGGAGTGCTGTGAAGCGCTCCGGCACTCTATATAAATGCAAGTTGTTGCTGTTCAGAAGTGCGGAACCTAATGCCTGCGACGCGCTCCGAAACACAGTGAGGGTCTGACACAGTGATGAATCCCACACGATTCGGAGTGTCTCGGGGATCAGTGAACAAGAGGAGAATCCAAACTCGGAGAAGTAGGAATACACATTTTATTGGGGTGGTGGGGGGGTGGGGAGGGAAATAAAAGGACAATGTACAGGCAATCATTCTTACACTCCCTCCCAACAAACATCAACCTCTTAACATCGGACAACAGAGCTAACAAATAAATAGCTTTGGAACGGAAGTTATACTAGGCGGGGGAGGGGGGGAAGGGAGGGGGGAAGCAGAGGGCAGTTTTTGAACAAAAAAGATTTTCAATGGATTTCAACCGACTCATAAAACGTAATTGCATCAATCATGCCTTTTTTTTTCCTCAAATGAAAAAAATTGCCATCATATTTGTTATGCAGGAACATTGGGAAGAGCTTCTAATCTACGACAAAACAGGTAACTAAAATCCGAGATGTTGGTTTTAAAATAGTTTTACAAAAATCTTCAATTCTCCCCTCCCATTCCCACCCACCCACCCCCCCCGTTTCAAAACTGACGAGTGTTCATATCAGCCCAGAAACTGGCACCTGGCTTTCATTCAAAGGCTGTTATCTCTCTCTTAAGAGCAAGAGAGACAGACAAAGAGCGAGAGAGAGGGTGTGCTTTAAGTTTATTGATACAGGTGAACGCCAACGAGGTCCTCGATTAACATCGCCCAAAGAAAAAAAAAGTTCTGGTGCTTACAACCCATTACCCCCTGCACAAGCCTGAGTTTCTTTATTCTTTCTTTAACCCAATGTCCGTGCCTCTCGATATCAACGGACGCAACCCGACAGTTACCACCATTGGGGCTGAACGCCTTTGGCTCCCGTGTTATAAGATATCACCTTCTCCGTGTGCTGGTAAGGAAGTGGCACGTAGCTGAGAGCGAGTCTCCCCCTTCTCTTCTGCGCTCTGGGTTACGGTCTCTTCACAATACTTTCCTCATATCGACTGCCACAAGGAAGTAGTTCCGAAATGTACCCTCTCCCGTCCTTGTTTGATGCCTCCAAAGTCTAACCGAAAACTGGCAACAAGCAAACACACGCGCACGCGCGCTCGCGTTTCGTTAACCCCGAAAGGAGGTGCGGTACAGTAAATGCACGTCTCTCTCTCTCTCTTTCTCTCTCTCACTCTCAAAGCACCACTGGAACCCTGAGGACTGGTTTCTGCCTGTTCCCCTGAGAAGCCAAGTTTCAAAGCTCACCTGGATCGGTTACAGTGCAGTTACACAGGAGGATTCGTGCTTTGAACCACAAAGGTACAATATGTCCTGGCAGCACCGCTGAAAAACATTGGGTTCCAGCTAACCCTCTGTGTGCACTGCTCACCGTTGTCCAGTGATGAGGAGAATCTTGTCCCATTGTTTCCCGTCCGCGGGTTTCTTGGCTACGACCTCCCCATTGAAAAGGCAGACGGCGAGTCTTCGGGAAGGCGAAAGGATCCTCCGCGCTAGAACGTCACAGCGGTTCGCTCGTTCCCAACCAATTGTCCTGAGTTTCTCTACCTGTCCTAGATAAGCACCGTGGTTCCCTCAGCCTTGTGACAGTGTAATCTACCGTGTCCCCTCTACGGACGGAGAGAGAGAGACAGAGACAGAGAGAAAGAGACAGAGGGAGAGAGGGAGAGAGACGCACACCGCTCCCATTCGTGGCTAACGACACCAAAACTATGGCAAGTTTAAACAGGTATCCGTTTATTACGATATAAAAAGAGAGCGGCGGAGGTATAAATTGTCTCCCTGAAGTGGGCAGACCCAGTGTCCTTAAGTATCATGCCGTTTTGAAACGCATGCACAGTAGGGCAGCTATCACAGTGCACAGTTGGGAGGACTCAACTCAAACGTAGAGCCCCCTGTTAGGTTGGGGGTCAAATTTCGTTTGTATCACAATATAGATATATATATGTCTTAAAAAAAAAGCTTTTGATGATAAAAGAGAAATTGGTCCATTTCCTTCCAGTTATAAAGATGTCCCACCAACAAGGTATGTCCTCTGGCCTCTGTGCTTATGCTAGGATCTTTTGAGGGATCTCTACAGATGCCCGAATGAAGATGGAATTGTCCCTCACATAGTTCCTCTTCTTGATCTCCTCGTGGGAGATGAACTTGGGGTAGCCGAAGCCCAGCGTGCTCTCGTCCATGGAGTTCCTGGAGTTGGCGGGCTTCTGGAAGTTCTTCCAGTTGGGGTCTGGGGTGAAGGTCTCGGTGATGTGCTGCGGCTTGGACAGGGAGGGGTCGCTCTGATCCAGGATGGAGAAGGTCACCTTGAAAGCGAAGGGCCACTCGAGCAGGTTGTCGTACTCCCCGGGCAGGACCCGGATGTACACGGAGAGGTGGGTGCCTTCCCCGCTGCCATTGCCGTTGAGGAAGGCCGAGACCTGGAGCTTGTAGCCGTACCTGTGGGTGTAGAAGGGGGGGCTGAAGAACTCGTAGTTGTTCCTCACTTTGGCCTCCTGCATCTTGCGGGAGTAGTCGGCGATCTTCCAGATGAGAACGCCGTCACTGCCGACCGAGAGCTCTTCCACCTCCCGACGCAGCTCTAAGATGTCCTGGCGTTGCCGGCTCACCAGGCTGCACATCATGTTCAGGTGAACCTTCAGGTTCTCTTCCATGTGTCTGGCCATCGCGATCTTGTGACACTGCAGAGTGAACGAGTGAGCAAGCCAGCGAGAGAGAGAGAGAGAGAGAGAGACAGAGAGAGAGACAGAAAAAGAGTTATTTCCCATCTGTTCAACTCTCCCTCCAGCTTCTCGTTCGCTTTAAAACTCAACGTCGAACTATTTCTTTCCATATCGTCAAAGGGAAGCAACCCTCGTCCTTGGCTTGTTCGAAACTCTCCATTCGCTTTCCTTTCATTCGCAAAGCGCACAGTCACCGCACTTTACAGTACAGTCGAACCCGTTCAAGCAATCACCTCCATTCAGCAACCTCCCCCCCACCCCGCTTGCCAACAACCACCCTGGAATAGCCTGGTTCACACACCAACAAACCCTAACTCAAGAGGCCACCCTTGTAGAAAGGCCACTTCTCTGGCCTCGGACTCTGAACGGTTGTTGAAGACAGGTTTGAATGTATATCCTGCGAAGCGCTTGGGGAAGTCCTCCTGACGTGAAAGGCACTCTGTCAAACATCCAAGCTCTCTGGGACACTACCCTGCGTAAGGGCGCTATATAGTAATAATGTAATAAAAATAATCCTTGAGTTTGATACGGAGCCTTATCACGTCTTCGAGACGTCTCAAGGCGCTTCACGGAATATACTGTAAAGTGAATCGACTGTGTATTTTGTGGGCTAAATGCGAGTTGTTGTTGTTGTTGTTGTATTCAGGGCTTTGGGTCATCCTCCCGAGATGAAAGGCGCTCTATAAATGTGATTTTGTTGTTGTTGTATTCGTACTTACCCTGTGTTTACAGCCGGCGTCTTTGAAGGGACACAGCACCATGGCCGTGTTACAGTTATCTTTCAGGTGATTAGCGAGGTCTTCCCTGGCGATGTTTGGCATCCCGCACTGGTTGGGGCAGGTCACTGGGTATCTCGGGCACTGGTACTGATGGTTCTGTAAAAGGCAGGGAAGCTTGAGACGAGAGCAACGTGTGGACGTAAACCCGGGTCCATCCCACCGAGTCACGCACGACGTTCGGACTTCGGGCGAGACCTTCAACCCAGGCCCCACCCAGCCGGTTCAGGTGGCTGTTAAAGACTGGGCTTACTGAGGGCCTCGCTATAATGGGAGGCACCAGAGCTGTGCTGTGTTATATGCGATATTTAACCCAATGTAAAACTTTATCTCTTTCCGTATCGACAATGAAAAGCAGCCCTTGGCTTACTTCCTCCCCACTTTCAAACCCGCCTCACGACTGACCTCCGTGTGTTAATCGGTCACCTTTTCCCCTTCCTCACCCTCTTCAGCTCCGGCCGACCCCACCTCCCGCTCCCCGCCCCACTGCCTACCCAGCTGTGCAGAGCGCTTTGAGATGTCCTTCGAGAGGCGCTGCGATAAACTGTACTGTGATACGAGCTAACGCCGAGATCCCAGCAATGTACAGTGCCGATAACAAGGCTCTGGGCACTGAATGAACCTGCCCATTTTTGAGTGAATAATTATAATAATAATCCCTGCATTTGATTCGGCGCCTTATCACTTCTTCGAGGCGTCTCAAAGCGCTTCGTGGGATACACTGCAAAGTGAATTGACTGTATGTTTCGCGGGCGCAACACAACAGCCAATAGCGTCCCCACAAACGGTCGTGGACTGAGCGTCCAATTTATTATTATTTTGGGGGTTTTAAGATTATTTAACAGAGCTAGGGCATTAGTTAAACATCCGAACCATAACCCACAGCCCCCCACCCCTCCCCTCCCATCACTTCTCCCGAGGCGTGTTTGTTTTGTAGAGGTGCGACAAAGTGACGGAACTAACCTGTATTGTGTCGAACACAAATTCCTTGCCGCAGAACTTGCAGGGCTGTGTTCGTTTCGGACAGTCTGCAAGGGAATGTTGTGACAGGAGGCGTCTCATCATCCTGGCCCCGCACTTGTTCTCACAGTACACGCTCTCCTGGGGGCAAATTCCCTGGTGATTCTGCGAGAGAGAGAAGGGGAAGGGGAGCGTGTCAGTGCGATCCCATCACTGAAGAGACGGAGGGCTTAAAACTTTCTGCTCCAACGCCACATCTCAATGGGAGACTCTTAACCCGCGCTGATGGGTGGCATGAGTGACCTTTTCCGACTGAATCTTTTCCAACTGGAAAAATTTCATTGTCACAAAAACCGAAAGGATTTAGTTAAGTTATTTCACAGTCCATTAAAACTCAGTGGGACTGAATTTTCCCCTCTGTCTCTTCCGTCAGACTGTTTTATTTTGTTAATCCTGCAATTTGAGGTTGCAGTGGATCTGCAGAAAATCTTTTAAGCTTTTTTTGAATTTGAATTTTATTATTATTGTTAAGAATAAAATTCTTAATAATAAAGCGCTTCACAGGATATACTTAATACCGTGTAGTGACTGGATTGCGCAGGTGAACGCAGTAGTAAGTTGGCACACAGTGATGTCCCACAAACAGCCGTGAAGCGAATGACTGGATTTATCTGGGGGCTTGTCAGCCAGGACCGGGGTAAACTCCCCTTCCCCGTGTTTTGTGAAGGTTCTGATATCTTACTGCCGGAATCTGAACTTGAAGCTGAAACCATCAACGGGTTTCCGAGTAAACTGGATGCATGCACGTGGGAGAAGGGATTGGAAGGGTACAAGAGAGGGTGGAGGTTTAATAAATAATAACCCTTGCATCTGATATAGCCTCTTATCGTGTCATTGAGACTTCCTAAAGCGCTTGACAATGATAAAGTGTTCCGCAAACAGTCGTGGATTGAGTGACCCAATTTTTTTTTAGGGTGTGGGGGGCGGTGGGGGGTAGGGATTATTAACCACAGAAAAGGATAGTTGCAGAGGGCACGACTAAGATGGTGAGGGCTCCAGCCTAAGAACAGCGCACGTCTCTCGCAGAAACCCAAGCACGGATGCCCGGCCGAAAGCGGGGCAGAAACCGCTGTTATCTCCCCCAGGTCCTCACCTCGTAACCTTCTCCGGTGAAGTCATTCCCGCAGTATTCACACTTGACCCGCCGTTTGGGGCAGTCGTGCTGCAGGTGTTCAGCCAGATCTCTCCTGCTCAGCTTGATTGTGCAGCGGTTTGGGCAGGGAATGACATTGAACGGGCAGCAGGCGAGGTGCACCTGGCAACGCAACATCAGGGAACAATGCAACGTCAATGCGGGATTAGACAGGAATACAACAGAGCCATACGGCACACAAACAGGCCATTCGGCCCCAACTAGTCCCATCGGTAGGTCACAAAGCCCTTCGCGGATGTGAAGTGAAGGGGCCACCTCACAGTCCCACGAACAGCCCTGGAGAGAATGACTCAATGCATCTCGGGGGCTGTCGGCCAGGACACCAGGAGAAACTCCCTTCCCCTTCCCAAAGTGGTATTTAACGTCTTTTAATAGAGCCTTTTAACACAGGACCCAGCAGCCACAGATGGGACCTCGGTTTTAACGCCCCTTCCGAAGGCTGTGAGCTCAAAGTACCTGACAAAGCAGCAACTCATACAAGAGGAAACATAAGCCTTACATGAGGGAGTAGAGTGGGGTAAAGGAGTTTGCCTGACATAGTGTTCGGATCCACAACCTTCTGCCCCAGCCCAGAGCTAAGAATGCTATCGACTGAGCCAAGGCTGACACCATGCCATGTTTTTACCTGCAGCTGTTTAATCTGTCCAGTCCACCTGCAGCCCTCCTCACTGTGAATGCAGCGAATGGTCAGGGACAGGATCAGAGCCTCGAGTTCTGGGTCGGGGTAAATCTGGAGGCAAAAGAAAGGAGGGTTTGGGTGAAACTCAGTCCGACTCAAAGAAAATTATAACATACGAGTTTGATATGGTTCAACAAAATCGCTGAAATATGATATTCACACCCACACGCATGTCTATATATACATACATTAAAAACTACAAACAAATGCATAAATTATTTACAGTATAAATTCTTTGCAACACACGAGGCATAAAGAAACGTTAATCTTTGGGGAGAAACTTCAATTAGATAGACCGTGACACCACAGAAACTTGGCATCCAGTCCGTCACGGTCTTTACAATCCAGTCAAGCCTCCACCCCTACTATAACCTTTCTATTCCTCCCTCGCTCGTGTACGCCTGAAGTTTCCTCCTAAACACGTTGCTGCTTTTTGCTTCAAACCCAACGATCCAGGTGCGCGATCGACATTCTCACCGGCCTCTGCCTGATAAAGTACCCCTTAAATCCCGGCTGGGATGAGCTAAACCAGGGATTAAACTAAGGACCTTCCTTGCCCCGCATATCTATCTCAGTGAGGTCGTTTGTGCGCTGACCACAACAAATAATTAATAGCTTGATAATATGAAGTTGATACTATATGTAGGCAACGGCCAATTTGACACTCAGCACTCAAAACAGAACGGTATGAAGTCCAATTTTATTGAAGTCCAATCTGGGGGATTGTTGGCCATGACACTGGGAGAGAGAAAGTCCCTTCTCTTTCTCAAAGGCTCATTTAACATCTTGAACAAGACCCGGGTTTTAAAGTCTCACCCGAAGGACGGCACCGCCGACAATGCAGAGCTCCCCCACCCCACAACCACCCCCCCTCAACGCTGCACTGGCAATCTTTTATTTCACTACGACCCCAGTCACGTGTCAATAATAAATAAATAATAATCCTTGCAGTTGATACAGCGCTTTTTCACGTCTTCTCGACATCCCAAAAGCGCTTAAAAAAAATTAAATTCAAAGCTTTTTTTTAGGTAAAAGAGAGAGCGAGAGAGAGGAAATGAGAGAGAGGGAGAGAGGAACAATACTAGTGATTAATTGTCGATTTTTTGCCTTCCCGGAGAGAAATAATTCAAACTGGAAATTGCTCTCTGAAAAGAAATTGCATCATCCTGCTTTGAATCGATATCTAACTGAGATGGATTTGCAGATTAGGCTGCCAGGAAAGTTCCATTTTTGCCACTTGAGAAAATATCAGCAGATTTCTGTTAATTTGGGCTCAGCTTGGAAATCCATTGATAGAACTGGAGTAAAAATAGCTGTGGATGGAACTGGGAAGGGTGGGAGGGAGGGAGAGGGGGGGAAAGTGGTCAAATAGAGACATAGGAAGAGGAATCCTTGCATTTGATATAGTGCCTTATCGCGTCTTCGAGACGTCTCAAAGCGCTTCACAGAATATACCGTAAAGTGAACCGACTGTATACATTTTGTGGGCGAAACGCAGCAGCCAATTGCGCACAGCAGCGTCCCACAAGCAGTCGTGGATTGAAGTGACCAAATTATTATTATAAATACAAATTGTTATGGATATTTCTCTATTGGGGAAAGGCAGCAAATATGTATGTGTGTGTGTGTGTGGGGGGGGGGGGCAGGAGACATTTAATGAAGACATTTCTGAATGTCTAAAGTTAATACAGGTTCCTTGCTTGCGATTTTTTTCTCCCCTGCTGACACCCACAGCATCCAATTTCTGAAAGGAATCCTGTGTCTGCACATTTCAATAGGTGGTGGTGGGGGGGGAATCAATGCAAAGCGCCTCCACCTAGTGACTAATACAGTACATGCCTGTGCCTGCATTATACAAACACGTGGCAAATTATCAAGCCAGCGAAGATCTGATAAGGCATTGAAGTTGAGTTGCCACAGGGCTATGAACCCAGATAGATGGCACTACTTTTCAGCTCCCATCATTGCTGTTGACATGAGGAGGAGAAGTAGTGAGCGGGGGCAAAAGAGTAAGAGAGAGAGAGAGAGAGAGAGGAATAGCATTAAAAAGTACACAGACACTTCAGAATGGTGATGAATTGTGTTTGCTAGGCTTTAAAGTATATTGATGATTGCTAATATCAATAACAGCATATAAGGTAGGCAGAAGGCTATGGATTTATGGCTCTTAATAAAACCTCGAGATTTATTCCCTGAGAATTACTAAAGGGTACAGTTTGCAGTCGAGCATCAGAAATCCAGTGATATTTCAAGGCCGGCTTGTGTGATGTGCAACTAATTCGACTCGCTCATATATTTAACCGGTCAAAAGAATTCCTGGCGATTTCCTAGGCTCCAGTGGCGCAGTTTAATAATCCTTCATCTTTATTGGTACAAAGCCTTTCACATTCAGAGGATGGCTCAAAGCGCTTCATAGTATATACTGTAAAGTGCAGTGACTCTGAGTTAATAATAATAATAATCCTTGTATTTGATATAGCGCCTTATCTTGTCGTTGAGATGTCTCAAAGCGCTTCACGGAATATATTTTAAGTGGATTAACTTTTTATAGGCGAATGTTTAGGAAGAGCAGAGGAGATCAAGCACCGGCAGCGACACAATAACCAATTGGCCTCTGTCGATACATGATCTGCTTTTTTATTAATCTAGTGCAACTAGAAAGAGAATGCGATGGTGTCCATCAAGAGCCGGTGATCTGAGTCCAAATGCAGGGCTCCTCAATGGGAGGGTATCAATAGTCTTCAATATGCCTCCTACTCAATGGACACTGGGAATAATAACGATAATAATCCTCGCATTCGATGTAGCAGCTCACCACATCCTCGAGATGTCTCAAAGCAGTGGTGAGAAGTGGTGAAAGGTGAACGTTAAGGGCCTTTGAGTTCCACCATACGGGAGGAAGAGCCTGACCTCTGCTTCCCTTGTAAGGCAACCAAGATCAGGAGCTCAGTGACGGAAGGGGAAGTGCTTAATCTGGTCACAAAACACTCAACTCAACTCTACTCTACTCTTGGGGCCCACTGAAACCTTGGACAGCTCAAAGCGGGTTATGAATTTCCACTGGTTTGGTCGGTGTGCAGTGCTGAAATGGGGAGGGCAGTGTGGAGCAAGGGGCGGGGGGGGGGGGGGGGGGCGGAGATGGAAATTTCAAATAGAAAGCATTTCAGGTCAAAATCCAGCGAAATCTCCAGCCCCTCGTGATCGCCGCACCCTCTAAATGAACCATCTGAATCCTGGCACCGATTGCACAGTAAAATGTCTTACTTGGGCGCAGTTAAAGCTCCGATAAGACCCACACAATGACTGAAGAGGGATTATGTCCTTCACAGTCAAACAGGCATCAATGCCAGCTTATTTCACATCAGTGCACTTACAAGTGCAGGTCTTGTGTTTGTTGGCTGGTTAAGTCTCGCTCCCTGCAGCTAAACTGCTGGGTAGAGTCTGGGGGCGGCGGGGGGAGGTGAAGACAAGACAAGACACAATCTCGAGGAGCTCCACTTTGCAGAGAAACGTTTATTCCAGCTACTGAGCCGGACGACTGAACACAAGAGTGCGAAACGTTCGGCCATAACTTCCCTGGCACGGAACGACAATGGCACACAAACAGATCGTGCCTCATCAAAGCTATCCGGGCTCGAAACAGGCTCAGCCTGATCAACAGCGAACAAAGGAAAGACATTCATTCCGAGAACCGGCGCTAGTTAGATCTCGGATTAGAGGTAAAAAAAAAAGTTAAAAATTGCACACAGCATCAAGGTTCAGAGTTAACTTTCGTTAAGTACTAAGATAATTGGTTTCAAACCCAGATTCTCGCACGGGCAGAGGTTTGAATGCAGACTGGTCGACCAGCAACTTTACCCTTTCATTTTTGATGAACACAATTACAGTGCATTCCTAGAAAGATATAGGAGTATTTACAAAGCCGCTTTGTAGCCTCCCTAACACCCCCCCCACCGCCCCCAGCCACCCCCAGAGAGATAGAGATAGCGAGAGAGGGAGATATAGACAAAGAGAGATAATAATAATAATCCTTGCATTTGATACAGCGCCTTATCACGTCTCAAAGCCCTTCACGGGATATACTGAAAAGTGAATTGATTGTATATTTTTGTGGGTAAAATAGATAGAGAGAGAAAAAGAATCAGTGGGTTTTTAACGTAGATACAAAAAAAATGCCATTGACTTCAATGATTGAGAATATATAGAAAAAAAAAGCTTGTTCTCCTGTTCCTCGTCGCTGCCCACCCTTGCGGATCGCTGGCATGGTTTCAAACCCAGGAAAAGTTTGCCCACAAAAGCCACAGAGCCTCTTAATCTCCAAGCAGCTTCCACCGAACAAACAGGGAATTGTTGCTGGCCATTCGACTCAACGTTAACAAGGTGGGGGGGGGACGGAAACCGATCTGGGGTTGCCTTGTGGATCTGACAATTCACTTTCAGCGTGAAATCACCGACCGACAACAGCGATCAAAACAAACTCCCCGTCTCGGAGACCACAATTTGGCCCGGAAGGGTGGGAAACAAATAAGACCTCCAGGACTAGGGCTCCTCTTTTAAGTTAAATAAAAGACGCTCTTATTTTGTAATCAGGAGGAGTGCTCGCACTCCATCAAAAGGAGTTGCATTCAGAACGAAATTTTAAATCAAAATTGAAAAGGAACCACTTTTGGCAGCAGGAGAGAGAGAGGGTAATGTAATTCTATCGGCTGATGGTTTCCAAAGAGCTTTTTTTGCAATGGTTTGCTTTTTTTATTCTGTGTTTCCTTCTCTTCACCCCCACCCCTCCTTCCCACACACACACACACAAACAGACACTGTTTAATCGAGGTCTCGACAGTGGGGGAATTGTTGGCCAAAGTTCAACACCGCACACAATGCACCTTTTTAAAAAGTGTTTGGTTGACTCCAACACAACCGGCCAGATGCTGTGCAAACAACCCCCCACCATCACCCCAACCCCCACCCCCCCCCATCACCATCCCAGGACGGAGAAGAGAGCACAATGGATAGTCAGTAAACAGAGGCGCAGCAGGCGGTTGATAGAGAGCAGGACTGGCCACAATGTTAACTGACTAATCCTTGAATTTTCCGTGCCTACAACAACAAACACATCTCAAGAGGCACTTCCCGGGTGGTTGCCTAAAAGTGTAGTGACCGCGTACGTTCTGGCCACCATTTCGCCCGCAGCGACATCCCACAAAGAACCGCAAAGCGAATGAACCGTTTTTATCTGGAGGGAGGATTGTCGGCCAGAACATACGGAGAAAATCTCTTCTTTCCCCCCACCATCCCCCACTCCCCACCCCCCCCGGTTACATAAGGTGTAACTGGAGGGCCGATGGACCACTTGCCCGTAGAATAAACCGCGTGGTTTCAAAGAAAAAAGGAAGCAGGCTTTTCGCTGAGTTTCAGCAACCCATCCGAAAGGGGTTTCGCCGCACGGGGCTGGGGGTCAAGTGGAGCGAAGAGCGAGGAAAAGTGGGGGTGCTAAAGGCAGCATCTCAAGGGAGACCTCGGCACCCCCAGAGTCTCTCAGACGGGTTTCTGCTCAGGCTTTTTTCCCCTTTTATCTTATTTCCTGCAGTTTGTGCTTCGCTGCTAAATTGCTGCAGCAGCATTTCCTCCAGACCAGCAGCAGTCGATGAAAAAGATTGTGGGCTTTCCTGTGAAATTGCGCTGAAGTTCGACAGGGCAATGATTCTGTTGTGTGTGTGTGTGTGTCTCTCTCTCTCTCTCTCTCTCTCTCTCTCTCGTCCCCCCCCCCCCCGCCCCTGCCCTCACACTTTCCACTCCCTTAGTTGCGGAAAAGGAACAAACAAAGGCTCGCAGTCTGGGCACTATATAAATTTAAGTCGCTGTTGTTGATTCAGACCCAGAAGAACCTGCATGTTTATGATCACTTCCAGCCCTACGGCAATTCAGAGCCGGGGAAAAAGAGGTGACGTAAGAAATAATGCTAATAATCTGATCATTCGACAGCGTGTAGGAACATCTCAAAATCGCTTCAAGGGATTTTTTTACCATAAAGTACATTTAACTGCATCTGTATGGGAAACCGGTAGGGAATTTACGCACAGTGATTGCTCACAAACAGCTATGGTGTGAATGAGCGATTTTATCGGAGGGATAGTTGACCAGGACACTGGGAGAAACTCCCTTCTCTTTTCAGATGGAGTCATTGGATCTTTAACGCCCACTTGATCAGGCACTGATGTCTCATCTGAAGGGCGACACCTCTGACGATGCAGTTCACCACACTGGAGTGTCAGCCCAGACTGTGAGTTGGAAGTCACGACTTGGGACTTGAACCTACAACCTTTCTGACTCTGGGACGAGAGTGCTACAGAGAGAGTTAGGACACCCAATGCCCATGCAATGCAGAGCCAAGCAATTGTGAGCTTAACTCAACTAAGAAACCAATCATAATGTGAGAGCAGAGCCCCAGAGAGAGGTTAGAACGCAAGCAAATTCCTCCCCTAAGTTTGCAATCGATTGCTGACACTCAATGGATAGATTAGCAACTTGGAAAAGGCGCTGTAAAATAAGTCAGTGTAGTCAGAGGTTGAAGTGTATTCAGGAGAGAGTGGGATTGGGAGCAATAGGCAGTTAGTTATTCCAATTTGTGCTTCAAAGCAAGTAGGAAACACACGGATAGAGAGCGAGGGAGAGATTTAATGTTGGGATCTTAGGGACGGGGGAAAAGGTGGAAATAAAATATTCCAGTGAACCGCAGTTCATACCTTAAAAAAAACGATCTAGGGAACCAAGGTTTGAGGAAATTAAACTTTACGAGGAGAGATTTATGAGGCACAGGAGAAACAGCTTCATCAAATGAACTAGTTGAAAAAAAGGATGTGTTTTTACACCAACTCTCCACACATCCTCCTTTTACTGCCAGGACACGAGGTGGAAAAGGGGAAGAAATTTAACGAAGTGTGATTTGGGGTTTCTCGTTAAACCGAGGTCTTATCTGCCTGTCCCATATCCCCCGCGCCATATTGCTACGTGCAAATTGGCTGCTGCGTTCGTCCACAAAATACAGTCACCGCACTTAAACGGAAACTTAGTGAAGCGCTTTGAGACTTTCAGCATTTGCTGTATCTAATGCAAAAATTATATTAGCATCATTATCAATTATTATTATCAACATACCACCATCTGATTGAAAGAAAGCCATCTCTCTCTCTCCTCCCACTGACGTAAAAAAGACATGGTTTGGAAGCAGCCAAATGGAGATTTCAGAGTGAAATCTGCCTTAAATCCTTAGGAAACTGCAGACACATTTGCAGTAATATTCCGAACACAGGTTTCTATTACGCTGGGTTGCAAGAAGCTTTGAGAGACACAATTTAGTGACCTTTTAAAATGGACCCAAGAGGCAAATGAAGAATCAAACATTTTTAAAAATTCCCCAAACGACTTCACTCCCTACCCGATATATCTGCAGATCTCTCCGCAGGAGAAGGGGAGAGAATTAAAATCCTGAAGACATTTATTTTACTCCCGAACACTAGGTAATAGAACATGACAGGATTCCTAAAAATGTCACTTTATATTAAGGAAAAATTAAACGTCTATAATATATTTTTAAAAATAAGACATAGTTTTCTCGTGAGGAGGAATCCCACCCAGGTTCTGGATTCACTCAATTACCTGTAGCAATCCAGAATTTACCAAATTGTTGAATTCAGTCTCAACTCTAATGAAGGTTCTCTGTGACTATATGACTCACGACGTGATAAGACTCCATAATAATATTCCTTGCATTTTATATAGCGCCTGATCACGTCTTCGAGACGTCTCAAAGCGCCTCACAGAATATACTGCAAAGCGAATTGACTGTATATTTTGTGGGCGAAACGCGGCAGCCAATTGCGCACAGAAGCGCCCCCACATACAGTCGTGGGTTGAGTGACCAAATTATTTTGATTTATTTTGAAGGGACTGCTACCCTCGGAAAAGCGATCCGCTAATCGACTAACAACCGGGTTCCTACTTACTGCTGGATAAACAGAGGCGTGCGCGCGGGTGTGCGTGTGTGGAGCCAAATGCCAGGTAAGAGAGATAATAACACACACACACAGATACAAAGCAATGGAAGCCCAGCGACACTGAACGTCAAACGATTGCCTCATTTCATTATCCTCCGTGGAAGAAGAGCGGGCATCTGCAAAGATAACCCGAAAAGAGAACAGCTCTCTCCACAGGAAAGGGTCGGGTTGAGTGTGGGCCCTCAGGCGCGCTCATTACAACAATTACCACAACTGAGCTTGAACGGCGTCGATAACAGGCCACAAAGGCAACAGGATTCCCCCCCAAGGTAGTGGCGACAGAGGCCCATCACTCCTCCCTCCCCCGGCAGACGCAGGGAAGAGACAGGCACTTTCAGTAAGATTGCATTTTAACTGTCCGTCACAATTGCTCAAGAGGGGTAAAGGGCAACAATTCGGGACGGACCAGGGTCCCGGTACCTCAGCGAGAGCTTACCTTGGCGTAGTCCAGCGGAAGTTGGTCCTCGGGACATTTAAACACGCCCTCACTGTAACGAGAGAGACAGAGAGTGATGGTAAATATACAATCGAGAGTTGAGAAATGGCTGTGTCCAGTAATAATAATAGCAATCTTTGCATTTAATACAGCGCCTTATCACGTCTTCGAGACGTCTCAAAGCGCTTCACAGAATGGCCAGTAAAGTGGATTGACTGTATGTTTCCTGGGGAAAAACGCAACAGGCAACTGCGCACAGCGACGTCCCACAAACAGCCGTGGATTAAAGTGACCGATTTATTATTATGATCATTATTATTTTTTTAAAAGGTATTATAGGACAATAAATATTTGAACGTGCAGATGATCAGTGGCCCAGAGTACAAGGCTGCAGGGGACGGCTTTGCCCGTTGTCTTCTCCGTGTAAGTTTCCTGGGCGATAGCCTCGCTGTAATATCATCCCCAGTCTAATAATGCGTTTACGTTCCCTTTGGAGAGAGGGAGGCCGTGCGAATCCGTTTCAGCTCCCGTCCAGCGCTCGCCAGGCTGGGTACGCAACTGTTAAACACAGAGAAAAATCCGCTCCACCCCCACCCCAACCATCAAGAAGCTTGAGGATACAACACTGTGTATATTTATAATGGAGTCTTTCACGTCGTCAGGACGTCTCTAAGCGCTCGACAAAGCTTGGGCTGGCATTTGAGCTTGTATATTATGTATATTTTTATATACTTTACAGTTTATATGTATTATAGTCTCAATGACATGATAAGGCTCTATATATCAAAGGCGAGATTATTATTATATTATAGGAGAGGGATGTATATTACGCAGACCTACACTCACATATAAAATATTTAGATTGTCTGCGCTCGTGTGTGTGTGATTCAATTGGTAAGTTATAAAAGTTAATTGGAGTTGAGGTACAGATCTGCCATGATCTAATTATAAGAATGGCGGTACAGGCTAGAGGGGCTGGATGGCCTCCTCCTGGTCCTGTACATTCCTGGAAAAGGCCTTCAATACATTGCCAGTTGTAGATTTCAATGCACGTTACGCAGAGTTCAGCGCACGGGAACAAAAAGCTCTGTTCCGACCCCGAAAAATCTGCTCACGGCAGCTGAGTGTGTTCCCCGTCTGGCGTTCAGCTCTCGGGCAGCCCGACCAGTCTTTGTCACAGTTTCACAGCTGCCAACGCTCAAGCCAGGAGCCTGGAGCTGACCAGTCTCCAACACCACAATCCTTGCTTCCTACCACGGTTCAACTTTGCTCTACGTTATACAAAGTGTCGCCTCCCACAACACACACACACACACACACTTCTCCCTCCCTCCTCTCCTCCTCATTACGCTCACATAAGATACAGTCAATTGACTTTACAGTGTATCCCGTGAACGTCTCGAAGACGTGATAAGGCGTTGTACAAAATGCAAGGATTATTATTTTGGGACGTCCTCCCGACGTGAAAAGCGCTATATCAAATGCAAGGATTATTACTATTAGTTGAGGAGCCCTAGTGCGTGGCAGTGAATCACCATTCACCTTCTTTCTTTCTTTCTTTCTTTCCGTGGGCCTGCCGACAGGTGATAGCAGTGACCTTCAGCAAGATGATGGATAGCCAGGACTCGGTGGTAATGTGTACCAGCCATTGAAATCCCTGAGCTTCTGTGCCCCTTTGCTTAATATTATGTGGGAGGGAGGGAGGGAGGCAGGGGAGGAACATAGATCAGAGCACAGGATACAATCTAATACGATCTGTGTTCACGAGTATTAAAAAGAGGAGTCTTTTAACACAAAACAATGCCAGAATGTGAGATTCCCTCATTTATATACACACCCACACATGCACGTATGTATATATATATATATAATGTGTACATATATATAATATAATATATATATCATGAAAACTCAGTGACCGCCTGGGGCTTAATTATACCTGTTCAATTTTTGATGAGCTCTACATGATTGAATATTTGATCTGGGTTGGCAAAGGGGCTGCTGATCTGGACCGTAGGTCAAAGCTAGCGCCTCTCTCCGTGAAGATAAAATTGGTCACTCGCTTCACGGCAGTTTGCGGGGTCACTGCTGGGCGCAAACTGCCTGCCGTGTTCGTCCACACAAACACACATCCACCCCCCCCACCCCACCACTTCACAGTAAGGCGCTATATCAAATGCAAAAGATTATTAGCAGCGATAGGATCGCCAACAACAACAACTTGCGCCTACATAGCGCCCTTCACCCAGGGTAGCCTCCCGGAGCCCTTGACAGTGGCGGAGTCTGATAGGTTGCATTAGTAATTATTAGATTAAAGGAGGGTTTTTGAAGTGTTACAGCAAAAGAGGTGAAGGTTGCCTGTCCAGGCGGATTAAAGAAAACTTAACCAGAGCAAACGAAGGCGAAAGGGAGTTGTTATTGAACATTCTCAGCGACTGTAACTCCAACTGCTGCGTGAGCAATCTGCGAAGCATCATTGAGGGGTGACCCAATTATCCCCAGTCACATCACGTGCTTCATGGTAGAAGAGGTCATTGCAGACCACAGGGATTTAGCAGGTGTCAATTTTTTTTTAAAAAAGCGCCATCATTTTTAGGATCAAAAATACAAGCACTGCACAGAACTGACGGCAGAGCATCAGAACACACACACACACACACAGAAATACACACACACACACACATACACACACACAATTTGAACTCATGGTCTAGGCCGATACTCTAATACAGTGCTGGAGGTGCCGTCCTTCAGACGAGACGTTAAACCGAGGTGTCTGTCCAGGTGCACGTTTAGGATCCCGCTGCGCCATTCAAAAAGACCAGGTGTGGAAAAGTAAGCTAAAGCCTCCCATCAGATGAGCCTCGTTGGGAATTCATGGTTCCTGCCTTCAGCTGTCAGCGAACAGTGACCTCCTTCCATCATCTCATCTTGTTAACTCATCGTGTGAAAAGCAGTTCATTACAGTGACAGTTTGTAGACAATTGATGAGGCGAGAGCTCCCTACTATTAGCAGTCTCTCACCTCTACCCTCTCCCCCCAAGCCCACCCTGCGTTATTCACTGAGGACAGTGAGCGTTTGGGTTCCAACTAGAAAAATGACGGGAACCTTCTTAGAAACGCGCCAACTTTTCTATGAACAGTACAAGGGACTGGGGTGATGTGCTGATTACAATGGGCAGCAGACGTTTGCACGACATGTTGTAATACTTATGTGGGAACAAACAGCCTGTCCAGCCTGAGGTTAGGTTGGATGGGGAGAGGGCTGAGGGTTTAGGAGCATTTCCCCTTCTAATATACAGTTAAAGCAACTAATAATCCTTGCATTCGATAGCAACCACTGTCAGGAACAAGCCATTAGACCGATTTCCCATAATAAAGCTCTATTGAGCAACCACCTGTCTAACGCTACCAATGGCCACTGTTTGTTTTTAACCCACCCCCACCCCCCCCCCACCCCCGCCTCGTCCGAATACAGACACCCATTTGCAGTTCTAAAGTGTGCGTCCAATATGGGGGAATCATTACTCACTGCTGTCAAAGCAAATAATTAGCAGGCGCTGGATCGAGGAACACTTGCCAGGGTTCAGGAAGGAGTGCTTAAAAGAGCAGACTTTAAAGGCAAACCTGGCCGCGTCACCAATTCATGTAAATTCAAGTGCACTTCAAAGCAAGGCTTACTCCACGCGGTACACCATTAGAGGCAAAATGCAACACCCCCTGCAATTCAATTCCCATTGAAGCCGATTCTATTAGTGTATAATAAGGGCACTCTCTGTTCCAAGTGCTCCCCGTAAACGCAGTGCATATGCTTCAGAGCTGCTCCTACCCTTTGGCTCACATCGACCTTTGTATAAAAACACGAGGAGCCCATATTGACTGTTCATCTCTTGACGAGTTGAGTGCAATGTTTCTCACTGATTACCGGAGTCTGGCCAACCCCACGAATCAAAAGGAATCGTACATTTTATTTTAAACAATGTATATATATATATTAAAATATACACACACATATACTACAATTTACATTTATATAGCTCCCTTCACATCAGAAGAATATCTCAAAGCACTAGACAATGATGGATAGCCATTATTATATGTATGGATGTATATCCCAGCTCAGGGATATATAAATGTATATATATATAGTAATAATATACTATACATATATATTATAATGCAGAGAACACCACCCATAATGTTTGTTTATATATACAATATAACTAATAATACTTATATACGATATATATATTATACACATATAAAAACTATATAAGTATTATATAATAGTTATAAAATAACATGTGTATTGGAAAAAAAGCAGCCAGATGTGTACATGATTTACACTTGCGTAACATTCTCTGTATTAACTGCATTAAGCCCTGTGCATTTGCTCCCAACCAAGACTCACACCATCTGCATGTGTGACCTACATACAGTCTGGAGGTTCTTAAGAGGTTTTCCTTGGTCCTCGAGACATCATTCAACCATGCAACAACCTGGTCACATTTTTGTAGGGAGGGAGGGAGGGAGAGAGAAACAAGTCTGCCATTGTAAAAAAATATTTAGTCAAAGAGCCCATTTACAGGCCTATTCATGCATAAGAAAGCGCCATCAATATACACGGTTTGTCAGAATCACTCACTCAGGGAAGGGATTGAGAACAACTAGTATTAGACTGTGCAACCCAGTGCTCGGACAGTCAACAACATTAACAATAATAATAATATATAATAAATATAATAATCTCTGGCGCCAGCCTTTGGAACTAGCTCACCGTCAAGTAACTGGACAACATCTCGTGTTAAATCAGCCCTGTCTACATCTCCAAACAGAACAGTTAACAGAGCAGCCACATCAAATCAGGCTTTGTCCCTCAACTGAACCACAGAGCAGCTGGTGCCCGGCAATAGTAATCCTGCCTTTGGATACAACACCTGATTATTATGATTATTATTATAATACCAAAGTATCTTGTAAGCACCTGGCAGGGGATTTTCTGTCAAATGTGGTCACTAGGTATTAATATTCAACTTGTAAGCCTCGCTCGTA